AGAGCCGGTCTGGACGCAGAGGCTAGAAGAAAAATCCTCTGCCCCCGTCGAGGATCGAACCCCGGCCGTCCAGCCCGTAGCTAGTCACTATACTGACTGAGCTACCCCGGCTCATGTAATTTATAAAACATTCTTTAAATTGTATGTTTATTTAACTACGATATTTGTACTGGATAAGTTACATGCGCGAAAAAGACGTGGATAGATTGACCTATATAGACTGAGGAAAACCACGAAAACTTTAAGCATGGTAGCCTGTGTGCCGTCCCATATTTAAACCTGAGATCTCTCAAGGAAGTAGACACCACAGTGACATTCAGTAACATTTGTCTATTAAGCTTCCAAGCTTTGGTGAACGTCCTTAATAGTTAGGTCTTGTTTATTTATTACCGTCATGCTTCGGACAAGATCTTGTCTAATGTTTATTGTACTTTAGGAATACAGCATGAAATTGCACATCTGCGTGTTCCAAATCATCGTCGACCTACGCGATTAATGTGCACTAGATGCATTCGTGGTCTCTCAGCTAGCCAATCACTTCGACATGGACAATGACATTCATTTTTTTACGTTCCTATGGAAATGGGACATGGCTGTTATTAAACGAACAGATGGTGACCGAGTACACCACCCCCATCGGCATTTACTATGATTTATTCCATGTTTAAGTTTATTTTAATTATAGTCAGTGCTATTGCTTTTCGTTTCAAGGATTAATTTTTAGTTTCACGGTCTTGTATTTCACTATTATTTAGTTTTATTATGACAACGCAATGAAACTCGTAGACAATGTGAGTACCTTTCGTGTGGACCATTGTGACTTTACCGATATTACCGATTTGTATTAAATAATTTTGCTTTGAATTTCCCTCTGAAATAGGCACCATATAAATACATCTTGTATCAGATGTTGATGTTTTCAGACTTTGAAACACGGACAGTGCCTGTGTAGAATTGGAGTCGATTAAATTTGTTCAGGCGGATAATTACAATGATAGTGTACGCTGCAAAACCGCATGGGAAACACGGAATTGTTAATCAGAAGATTCAAACTCAGTTACACAGGATGTTATAGCAATATACCTAGGCATGCGTGTCAAGTTTCTTGGATTTTTGATGTGACTGTATCATCATAATGTCTGGCGTCTAACCGAATGTTTCTAGTAGAGTGTATCGAGTATGAAGATGGCCATCTTATGGGATGCTACGCGGTGTAGTCTACCATACTGCATGGTACAAAATCCCACAAGACGGTCATCTTCACATTAAGGCAGAGCATTTGGACTGGGTCTTTGCGTTAATGGCACTGCGTTTCTACAAGCCAGCCGGACAGACTGCAAGGCATAAAACTGGCCTGACTCAGGCTAGAAATGTCAAAAGCCCTTAACGCTCACAAACATTTACACAAGCAATTTGTCCAGCCTTCAAACTATAGAACTGCATGTGAATGTATTTTCTTATTTAAGGTCTTTGGCTAGCAGATTAACCATTAAATTAGTCACGTGACAACAGAATCTGTTTCATTGGTTCACATACCTGTAGCTTTCGCTTGAAGGCTGTACCCTTACCTTTGTTGCTCTCGCCTGGTAACTCAGTGCTGCCAACGTTCGTAGATAATTACTGGTACGGACAGATAGCATGTGAATTTCGGTAAGCATTATCGCAGACAAGACAAATGCAACATATTAATCATGTAGCCGATATCGGGACACAAAATAGCAAATAGCCTGCACGAGTCGTACGTAATATGTATCCACAAAATTGCCTGAAATGTCTAGACAGTGCTTCCTTAAAAAAAAAATAAACATTTCTAAACTACGGTTCAAGGAACTCTATGGATTATATTTGCCCCAAAACATGTTTCATATTAGCGTCTGACTTTTTAGTCTGAAATTTTTTTCTGTTTTTGCAGAAACGTCCCTAGAGGGGTGCGGGGTCTGGGGCGGAGCAGTCTTTGCGGGGCTCCTCCTTAAAATGTATATAAGCACAATAAATAAATAAAATAGTAAAATAAGACTGTGGCCTAGCTATATGTTTATTTAAGAGTGTATTCTTATCTCTGTTATGATATTACAATAAAGTTAATATACTATATTTTAATACGCCGCGTGCTGCATTTTTACTTATTGGGTACTCAAAGTGTCGTTGTTCATGAAATATTGCATACATCGCAATGTTGTACCTGGGGGCCCAGTGCGGCCGCCTCGCCCTAAAAACTGTCCAGATTGTTGGACTACGTATAATTAGCTTCTTACGCTATATAATATTTCTGATCAGAGTCTACATCTGCACCAATGACTACATTTTTTACATTTTCATATTTAATCTCAAACATTACGGTCTTTTTTGGGTCTTATTTTTATATATTTCTAATTTCTAATGCTTTTATATACACAAAAATGCATTTATCATATTTTCAACAAGGATAACAGAACATTAAGTTCATCTTAACAAATTCTCCAAATTTTATTACAGTAATAATTAATAATTATCAGCCTTCCGCGAGTGTGGCCTGTTGGGTACTCATTCTGGCATTTATAGGGTCCTCACAGAGATCTTTACTATTTTACATCATTTTTAAATACGTTGGTGGAATAAGAAGGCATAAACGTTTATTTAGTCATTTAGTCAAGGTGGGTTCAAAAACAATTTTATACTTCTAATATAATAGGTTTGCAATATAAAATTTAATCGATAATCGTCATGTCTCTGATACATCCTCCGTCAAGAATGGATCGGCGTAAAATACATTTTCTGTAATACGCTCCACACTATTTCGTTGTGTGAAATTAAATAAAAATAATATACATAAATTATTATAAACATGCAGAAGGTTAATGCACCACATTTTATTACAACAAAAGATCTATTTCCTGAAACATGTTTTGTGCATGTTAACATGATGTGTCACCACCTGATTCGGTCGATGTCCTCGACTTTAAATTTATATTCTTTACATGATTTCAGCATTATTTATCAACATTTTAAAGCACGTGTGTTTCGAGAGATAAATACGAAATAGAAACTATTATAGTTTTACCTTGAACGTAGAATGTGAAAATAAAGACAAACACAGATTTAATTTCATCTTGAATGTATTATAAGTCATACTTATTCTATAAAATGTTGATTATTCGTACTGTTACAATTATTTTTATAAGAAAACCATTGTTTCTGACTGTACGCCTTATAATACTCGCGTGCATTTGGCTCGCTGGCCGTGAGTTGATATTCCATTGCGATAGGTTAATTAATACAGCCCCAAACACCAGGTACAGAATCTAATGTATATATTTGACATGTGAAACACTCCCATCTTCAGTGAGATCAAAAATTAAACAAAAGAAACATTTATCATAAATAGCGTACTAAGTTTCAAGCGATGCCATCACGCAAAGCAAAACATGGTCCAGACTTTAGTGTAGCCAACGATGCCATCAGAAATGCAATTACGCAAATCAGCGGGGTTTTTTTAATTTTTTGTACATAAGTCATAATACGGTTATAGATGTCAACGCAATACAAATTAATTTAATGATATGTTCGTACAAAGACGGTTGTTTTTTTATTTGAAGCTGATACTCGCCTTAATAATATTTAAGGATCTAGTCCGTACCTCAAAGAGAACACGACTCAAAACCATTACAAAGATAAAATATTTAATTCTGTTCGTGAAAATAATGGCTGTGCACCTGAGATTTATATGAAACTGTCAAATATATTTTGTGTACAAAACGCAGAATTGCTGGTTGTTAATGCAGTCAGGTGTTGCCTGAACTTCCCACTAGACTTTACAGAGCTAATAAGCGTCTGGCCGACTACACAGTCGCATGCAGCCAGTCTCTGGTGACCAGTTCCATGTGACGCCGTCAGAACCAGCAAATGAGGATGGCTACGTTTCATATAATGCTCTTTTACTCAATTTCCTTTTCGCCTCTCCTCGTACTTCCTTATAGGCTTTTTCTCTTCGTCACAAACTTGTTTTCACTAGTTTCCTTTTACCTCATCTTCCATTCTTAATTCTTCTTGCTCTTGATTTCCTTCTTCAGTGTTCTAACCTACAAAATTGTGCGTGCACGATCTGAAATCCAAGGAAGTAGGACATGTACCCAATAGATAAAATAGGTGTAACAAGCAGCCCACATAATGTGACCCTGCTGCCACCTGGTGACCGTCTTAGCAGACCGAGGCGTATTTTTCAATATGGTTTACTGTACTTATTGAATCTATTCATGAAAATCCAACTCGGTCTACAGATTCTGATGAAATAAAGCTGCAATTCAGCTCACAAATTTGGATTAGTCTATTTTATTTTCCGTTAAATGTTACCTAGACATTTAATTTAATAAAATGGAGAAAGTCTGAAACCAGAAGACAAAATCTCCGCCAAAGGAATTGTCAGAAACGTAATATGAGTCTACCTAAAATATTCCGGAACAATTCTGTGGGTATTTTGTGCTCTGAATAAATTAAAATTGAGTTGAACTCAGTACTGCATGGAAACTGCTGAAGATCCTATGTTAGGAAGCTGTTTTACAAACGGAGACAGAATATCAGTGGAATGGTTTCACAGAGGAAGAAGTGAATGCAGAAACTAGGCCTTGCAATCTGAATTGCTTAAAACACAACAAACTATTCCATTATGTTGGTTATGTCATAATGGTCAGTAAATGAACGATTGGCCTTATTAACTGTGAGACGTTAATTGACCTCATTCAAGAATAACATTTGTAGATTTGTTTTGGTTTGTCTACTTTCTAGGAAGTTAAGTTGATTATGGTTGTTTGTTGAAAGCGCGTCATCGTGTTGGCTTTACACGCCTGTATACAGTTTGACTTCAAGAAAATTCCTTCCTTCCTTCCTACTTTCCTGCAGATGGTTAAGTTTCTGGTAAAAGGTCAGGGTTAAACAGGAAATGTTGGTTGGTAGCTTAGTTGGTGGTCATTTGCTGTTAAGGTTCGTCCAGAATACTCTGGGTCTCGTATATAATCATAAATAGTATCCCGTAAGGCCCAAAATCCCGTAACGACATTACAATGACAATGGCTATTACAAACATATTCATAAATATTATCACATATCGTCCACGATCCCTTAAGAAAGAGCCAAGCACCATGGAACAAAGATGCAGTGGAAGATTCTTATTAATGTTTTACTAACCCAAATACAAGATAGGTAACGTGTAGTCGGATATAGATCACGTCATTAAATTGTGTGGATAAGTATCATGAGCGGATTGGGTCAAAACATTGTTCCAGAACTGAAGAATCTATGGCATGTGTGTGGCGAAGGCTTGCTTGCCCACGTCATGCATGAGTATGTCTTTAATTATTTATTGGAAATATACAGGGATGTTTCAGATCTAGTGGAATTTTGTTGGTGTATGTTGGCAGTACAGTCCACATTCCTTCGCTGGAGATACAGGTAGCACTGCTGTTCAGTTGCCTGTGCTGAAGCTTGGAATAAACTTTAGGGACGAGTTGAAAAGACTGCAAGTCAAGTTCATACGACAATCATAATATTTGAGCAGACTTTTTGACGTATTTTCATAAAGAAATAAACTGTGGCTATTAAATCTGAGTTTTTATTATGACAACAATGGACATACGAACTGTTTAGTCGTCAGTGAATAACGTGAACAAATTTTCTTTTGTGGTTGTATGGACTGGAATAAATTGTCAAGAGCAATACAATGTGTGAGTCAATGATTCACGGAAATTGGGAATGTGGTCTGATGGGCGGTGTTCGAGGATGGTATATGGACTTGTGAATAATTCCAGAAGTCCTGTGATCACTGCATTTGACGGTAGGGGCTTGTTTTTGTTTTGTACGATTTAACCTTCATGTCTCTGTGTTTATAGGACCCGTATTTATTATTTTTTTCGGTTGCATTCAACGTTTTATTGTTTTGCATGATGACTGTAAAGAAAAATGGAACAAAACTTAAAAGTTTGATGTTTTGTTGAACAGTTTTTCTGTTGCAACACACATGTTGGTAGATGAAATTCCATCACTCGTTTTCACTAAATTTGAAGATCATGATGGGTTGGAATTTATACAAAGTTCAGATCGATTATAATCATTTTGGAAGAATGTTACAATATAGCTCATCCATGGTACATGCTTCTCATAATAACGTGATGGTATGATGTTACTCCGTTATATACTAGTAATTGTGCGTAAATAATTTTAGTACTTGTAATAGAATAGATGCAATTCCTTATTAAATTAATTTTTGGTCAGAAATATATATAACGGGTTTTGCATATTATTAAAATCCGTTGTGAAATCTAATCGTATTTATCGTAATTAGTTTTAATTGTGACGTCAAGAGGTATTTGAAATACAATGTGGCTCACATGTTGGTTTACCAAGATTGTATTCACTCAATAAAGATTTACATGAATAGAAAATTAATAAATAATAAAGAACAAAAACTGTTTCAGTAATATTATCACAGTTCACAAGCATCGTTCAAAGCGTGAATATGTGCCACTCTATATTTACTATTACATTATATGCGGAAGATAAATTAGGTATTAAATTCCTGTGGGGTATATTTTGACACATCTTCTGCTTTTTAATTTGTTTAAACATTTAAGAATAAATTATTTTGTCAGGGTTATAGTAAGGCAATTTGTTGATTACAGTAAAATACACCGAAGAAATAAAAGTGGGTCCAACATACGAAAGCAAAACTTACGGGCGTTCGGTACTTGAGGCATAACTACTACTGCGAATTGCACAGCACATTCAGTCTAAAAAAATTGACAGTGGAACCACGGTTCCCTAGTTAACGTTGAATAACGTTTAACTGTAGAAGTATATTTGTACAGAAATAACATTTTATTTACACATTAATGTATACCTTTACATCTTATCTATACGTGACTTCATCCGCCGACAGCTTGTCTGTGTGTTGCGTCATGTACTCAACACACTCACTCTAGAACCGTTCTTTGTTACCAAATAAATGTCCAAAACTCCTATTCTGTAAGAGTTAGCTAAAATCTGTTTGCAAATTTGAAAAGCTCGTGTTTATTTACGTATTTCACTCGCAATATGGCCAGATCTAACTCTTACGCTTTAGACGTGGCAAGCGGTTGAAGTTAAGGAACGAGGGTATAGTTATTACATGTTTTGGGTAGTTATTTTAACGATGTGTAAAATATGCATTATAGAATAAAGTACACATCATGTAGAAAAAAACATTTATTTTCTCTTTAATTCACATATGGGTTTATGTTCTCTACCTTACATAGGTCTCGAGTTATTGGCGTTTGAAGAAGTTACACACCAGCGTTACCTTACATCTTACAGTTTCCGTCGAGTGTAACCGTGATTTTATAAACGTTATTCAACGTTAAAACTTTGTGGATATGAAGAACGATAATCTTCCTAACAGCATAGTTTTATCACAGCTATTACTTAATATTTAGTATCAATAAATTCGAATTACATATTTCCCTTTTCAGTGTAAATTAAATATGCATTTACATACAACCGAGAAATTTAATAAATGGCAGTAACTCTGTATTTTCACTGCCATTGTTTTATTGGATGCCCCAGCACCTAGGATTCTAAATGGATTTATTTCTCAGTATCTTCTCAGTATTCCATATTTTTTTACCGTCTGTCTAGAAATTATTAACGCAACATTCGTAATGTCGTTAGTTGTCAGAATGTGAACAGACGGCTTCTTTCGCCTGTATACACAGGACCACAATAGTAATTCGTATTTTTACTATATACATATATTAAATATTAAACATCAGTTAATCGCACAAATGTAACGTAGCTCAGCATACGCTATTAGCATACCTAGAATATTTTATTTTGTATAGAATTTGTTATGACTAAAAAGAATCAATATTTTAATATATCAATGAATGTTAGTAGAACATTCCCTAGATGCTTCGAAAGTTAAACATTAAATTTTGTCGTTCGCTTTTAGTTCGCAAGGTAGAATAATTTATGATGTCAATTTTACTGTTTTATTTGTTCAGCGTGGTAACTTCCCGAAAGCCATGAGAAATCGTATATACCCTAACGTTTGGTAATTCAAAAGCTCATTTATTAGGAAGTCATACAATCGCGTACAGAATGTAGATTCTGTTTCAGCTTTGGGATTTGAGTAGAGAAAAATTAATTAGAAATTTTGTTTACATTTTCTGCACTTTTTAGTAAAATAAACCACGATGAACACGCAAATTGTTAGGGTCTGTCGATGTTAGCTGTCCGGTTAGTCAGTGACAGTGGTTAAATGCTGTTACATTTTGTAAACATTTTTAATTAAATGCTCGCTTCAAGCAAAATTATTTAACGTCTTATCGTTTAGCTCAGCCAAAAGGAATATCAGGAAAGACCACTCCCTTGCACTGTTCTTTAAAATATTTTATATTTCCTAATAGTTCGATTTTACATTTTGTGATTTAAATTGTTGATTGCGAAGCCATAAACAAAAAAACAACATTCAGGCCTATTTTGTAAGCATACGGGTCTAGCGGTTAGAACGCTGGCCTTGTAATCCTGGGGTCTCGGGTTCGATTCCCGGCGGTGCCCGAATTTATAACTTGTGTTGGGCAAGGCCGTGGTCTAGGCAACACGGGGCTTCCCCGGTTTCTCCGTGGCATCCCAACAATTACTCCATTCACACACTGAAGAATGGCAACGGCAAACCACTTCTGGATCATCTGCCAAGAACGTATATGAACAGGTCCCAGTCCGAGAAAAGGATGGAAGGATCCTGTTCATATGGACCTGTCGTCAGACAGAACACTAAATAATAACGGGTGTAGCAAATACTTCCTACTTTGTATTCCTCGTTTCAGAATTGGTGATTTAGAATAAATATAGGAAAAGTACATTCAAACAGGCCACGACCACTCTCGCAAGCTCTTTATCTGTAGTCACTGACTCACATCTTGTGACACTCTTCATTACATTTACGTAAGGTCTGAAGCTTTGACGGTGACTGACTGCAATGATTTCTTCTCGGGCGATCAGTTAATACCCAACATTTCAGAGACTCTTATCACACCTGATGATGGAAGCGGAGACGGATAAACTCCATTTTCACACAGATAATTGCTCTAGAATTCATTGTACTGTCTGTGCAGATGCTGAATCATTTGTCAATGTAAATCCAACTTATATACACCGTGAAACATGACAGTTGGCCTTTGGGATATTATGACATCAGATGAGCCGAGTAACTCAGTCAGTACAGTGACTGACTAAGGGCTGGACGACCTCGGTTCGATCTATGACAGGGGCAGAGGATTTTCTTGTAGCCTCTGCGTCCAGACCTGATCTGGGGCCCACCTCGGGGGGTAAAGCGCGGTCGGGTCGTGACGCTGACCACTCACCCCCATCTAGCGCCGAGGTTTAGAATGAGTAGGAGCGATACTATCTCTCCCTCTTAACGTCTACATGGCGCGCAATGGGATGGCTTTACCGTTGATTTTGGCATCAGGGTGGCTTTTAGTGTAACTGTGTTCTTGTAAAAGCTTCAATAGCATTGGTCGTGCCTCTACGTTAGTGTCATGCAGTGTGGTGGAAGTTTCAGAGGTGCTTGCTGTCTCCATAATCAGGGTGATGGTGTTAGAACAAATAAACACCTCTGAAACGTCGATAAACTTTACGATACTGCAAGACGTAACTTAGCAGAAGGCACTTTCAGATATACGTGCCAGAGAATCTAGTGAATTTTTCAAATGAACTGAATTTCAGAGGGGTAGTATTTAATTTAAGGTTTACTAACCAAAATGGAAAATTTTTCGCCGTACTGTAGGACTATTGAAATATTATAATTGCTTATTTACAACGTTAATCTTATTCTCGTTGGCGAGGTAATAAGCTGTCGGTGGTGTTCAAGGATAAGACATCACACATTTACTGTAGTGGCGATACATACTGATCGTTTTATGCATGAAACTGTGGGCAGGTGACGATAGAGCTGTGAACACAGATCGCGATAAAAAGTGGTTATGGTTGCCTAGCAAAACATATTGTTTATAAGAAGACAGATTTATAGGCCACATGAGGATCTCATTTACATGTTGAAAGCCGATTGTAACTTGGTTTTACAGTCGGTTTGTACACGCCACGATGTAAATATTCCACATCGTGGCGTGCTGGAACCAGTGGGACGGGAATACGATTTAGTATTGAGCTTCAACCATTATCGAAACGTGTTTTTTTCGATAATGTATGTTCGATTCTGGGCGTTTCGCTGTCTTGCTTATTTAATCTTTTAAACCGCACATAAAGTCGAGTTTGCGGAGAGGAAATTCAATCAGTCGATGTGTGTGAGAAAGCAACGGGAACAGTATGCGCAGAAAGAGGTTATATAATATAAATATTATAATCAAAACTATATTTTTCTTATATAAATTCGTTGTTCACAGGTTTGTTCAAACTTAATATCAAAATTGAACCCTAAATTATGAAATTAAATATCCTTTTCGACAGGAAAATGTAAGATGTCAAACATCCATTGTTTTTGTACTGGTTAGTTTTAAAATTTCGATTTTACGCATTTTTATACAGTACAAGGTTTAATATACCTCACACGTGCGACACTTCTTCGAGGGCGTTTGGTGCACATATTTCTCTTAACCTTCATCATGGCTAATTTTACTAATTGTACTGATTTCACGATCTCGTGTCTGCTAATTCACTGTATTTGCACCTCCCCCCACCTCTATAACTGGCTGTCGTCTCTTACATCTGCAACCTGAGAACCGCCACGTCATTCTGATAGGAGACACACTTAACATGATTTTAATGTCAGTACGTGAATAA